GGGACGCGGGCTGCGTTTGTGTGCGCGTGCATCTTCGTGGACAAAAACCAAACAAACAACAAGATCCGAAACTGTTACCTCTGTATGAATGTGTGTCCCGAGGAGAACGGGGGGGGAATCGCTTTTAGTGTTATCTTGGGGGTCCTAATTAACGTGAGCTTTCACCTACCTTAAAATCCGCTGTGGGTTTCACTGTGGTTGGGAAATCACTGAAAAAGCTTTTCTAAGCTGTTTGCGTAGATGTTACTGTTCAGTGGTGGTTCCATCCCCAAATTTTGTTTGCTTTTCTGGAAGCTGCCCCACGACTTGCACTTGACAAAGATCGAATGTTAGGGCAGAGTAATGGCAGCAGTTGGTTGTGGCTGGGGTTCTAGGGTTCGCGCCTGGAAAGTTACCCCTGCCATTTTTCCTCAGTGGCCCCCTCTGTTTGCAAAATGAAGCATTGTTTGATCTCAATGTTAGGAATACAGCATAATTTAAAAAGAGAAATAGTTATATCTGTACCATAAAAAAAACCCACCCCGTACACAGCTCTGTCTCGCCTGAGGTTATGCCTTTTGGGAGGAGAGTTCGGGCTGTTTCTCAGCAATTTTTGCTCGTTTCCCAGCTCAGCCCCCTAGAGGTCTGTAACCCACCGTTTCTTGCTTGTGTTCTGCAAGAGCTGTGGGTTCTGGAGCTTGGTTTGGGTGGCATGCTGTGAAAGATGCAACGTGAGGTGTGGAGGGGGTAAGAAGGGTGCGGTGAAGACAGCTGTGTCGATTTGCTGCTTTTCTTTGTGATGAGACCTTGGTTAATCCCTCTTATAAACAGCATACAACACAAGTAGAAACTTAAGGAGGTCTTTGATTCATTTTAATATCAAAAGTTCTCCCTACAAGCGTATTGATTGTTCTTGTGCATATTGCTTGGAAAACCCTTTGTGAAAATCATTAGGTGATGTATAGATATTTAACTGAAGATGAGCGCAAGGATCACAGGGCAGTCACATTCCAGTGTATTTCATAGCCTTTTGCCTAAGAAGGGTTTGATACTTATGTCATATAAGTAAGTCCTAGGACATTGTTTTCTGGTGCACTTTGATCATCCATTCGCTCAGGTGGGGTGGTTGTATTGCTTCACATTTTACTTGGTCATGCACTTCTTCCTGAAAGTTGGCCGCTAGCTATGGGATGTGATTTTGGCTTACTGAGAGAGGCTGGTATTCACTGGCCACCATTGCCTTATAACTTTCGTGAGGCCAGGGTTGTATCTCCCACAACAAATTGTTTGCTTGCCATGCATTTCCTTCAAGGTGTAATCTTCACACCGTGTTAGTGGGACACACAGAAAACAGCATTAGTGTTTAAGACAAAAATGACGATCACTCAACTGGATATTTTGCCTTTGTAAGAAAGTGTGTGCAGAAGTAATTTTTAACTATTGTCAGTAGCCATGGCTACATGCTATTTAACTAACAACCTAAATAGAAAATATGATCTTTTGTGAGACCTTAGAGCTTCTTTGCGTCATTCTCACTTTTCTTAATGAATGCCATTAATCATTAATATTCTTTTATTCTAGATGTGACCATTCTAGTTTGTTTTAGGTAGCCATGAATGCAAGAACACAATGAGAATAAATTATATAGCATTGGAAAAAAATGCAAACAGAAAGCTTTAATCTATTGTAGAATAATTATCCTAGTCAGCTATCTGCTTTTATGAATGAATGGAGCTGTTGAAGAAAGAACTCATATACATCCAAAACGTGACGATTGTCCTCCCATTTGTATAGGCATTTTTACGTAAACATATGAGGGAAAAAGAGGGAGAAATCTAAAAAAAACCCCAAGGACGCAGGCGGACACCAAGTTTTTTATCTTAGTCTCACTTAAATGGCTTTTAAGCAGTAGTTCTATTTTATCCTGTGAAACTGTATCCGCCTCGGTTATATTCCAGAAACCACCCTCTAGATGGCAGGAGTTAGTCACTTCACTCATGAGCAGTAAATTACCTTATTTTCAGAACCAGTGAAGTGGCCTAGGGCTGTAACACAAGCAAATAAAAAAAAAAAAAAATAGATGAGAATCGGCAATTTAGAGCATACAGAATTTCCATTAGCAATACTGGAGTACTCTCTGGGGAACTATTGCAGACTATTGTTTTTTCGAAGATACATGCAGAAAGTAGTGAGGGTCACCTTCATTTTTAAAAGTGTTTTCAGTGACTTTTGTAAGAGAAGCCATGGAAAGACAGTGTGTGTGTCTCTGAAGTATCGTCATTCCATATTGCCGTACAGAGAATCAGAACTGTCATGTTTTTGCTTAATGGCCACTGTCTGTCTAGCTGAGAAAACAGGGCAAGACTCTGCGAGGGCCTCCCTACATTGCCTGGCGAAGGTATTTGTCTAGTCAAGAGCTTGTGTGACAGCACAAATATTGGTGACTGTCTTAACCCTAAGCTGTGCTACCTGCAGAGTATAAGCTGTACACGAGAGAGAACTGGCAGTGAAAGTCACTCTTGTAAACTAAATGGTGCAATGACAGCACAGCCATCTTGGTTGGTGTTTGCACGTTACAGGCATACCCCACTGCCTGCGTTGTTTTTCACTGCTGTTTTACTCTGCCACACCGCTGTGCATCTCATAAAGTTGTTTTCACCTATGCGAAGAGCCACAGGATACTACCAAATCAGATTCCCTCCAAGATAAATTGCTGTCCAGGGTGCAGAACAACAAAATTTTGGACAATCTCTTTCCACCTTGCTCCCTTTTTCATTCACCTTTTGGAGTCATGTGGCAGGGCAGAGCAGTAGCACTATGGATTATATACTGACTGCTGGTCAGATACGCATTTTCACGGCAGTAAATTCACAAGCATGTTAAACGGGAGTAATTCAATGGGAAGAAGTGTTGAGAGCAGTTGTCTGAGGGAAGGTGGGGGTTACTTTTTCCAGTGGCAAAGCGGAGTAGTAGCATTGCAGCACAGTGTACCAGCTCATGTGGACACTGACCCCCTTCAGAATTGCTCTGCTCACTCCTTCATCTACTCATCTTATAGATATTCTCCCTTTGCAGTGAGGGCACGTTTTGGGGAAGGACACTTATTTATTCCTTAAGTTACTTGAGGAATAACTAAGGATTCATGCTATCTCACTTCTATTACTGAAAATTATTGGGATCAGAAAGGAAAATTGGGAAATTAAGTGTGTGCACTGACTCCGTCAGAATGGCAATATTCTGGGAGAGATAGGACCTTCATATGCAGTGACATTGGACTGTGCTGGATGACAATGGAACATTTTTACTGCCTTTTGCTGTAATATCTCAGTCCCTTTAAAGATACAATAAAGTGTGCTAACTATCAACTTGAAATAAATACTGACCTGAGTTGTCGGAATTTACTTTTCATTTAATACACTGTGATTTCTTTCTCCCTAAATAACATGCTTGTTCTGATCTAATTAAGCCCCTATTACCTACCTACCTATTACCGTAATTATCTTCATTATTGCAATATCTCCTCACAGAATTCAATATGTTTGCCTCCCTGGGGGTTGCATTGTAAAATGGGTGCAGCGTATACCTTTCTAACTGACCTTTGAAATGGCATGCATCAAATTTAATTTGTTTTTAAATCCTGGCCTTGAAGCAACTGACCTTAAAAGTCATGTCAATATTTGTTTGATGTAAGATAATTTTGTCGGTAGACATTTATCCTTCCTGATTTAACTACATAAAGAAAAGAGAAACAAAGAAAAGAACTTGAGGCAAAAATCTTTGCTGATGTCTACTGAATCGGCATGTTCAAATATAATATTTTAAAATAGGCCTTCTTGAATTAGGTGTTGGAATGTTTTCTTTCTCCCCTGCTATTATAACTGATGCTTACAAAAAAATCATTAATCTTAGCCCTGGAAAATGATTCCCCAAGAAATTTCTGAATGGTTATTTTGTCTGGTCAGTGTTTGTGAAACATATCAAAAGGGAAAAGAAAAAAAAAGGATAGAGAATTTGCTGTTAGTGAATAGAGTCCTGATTCAGGGAGCCCACTCAGTTGTCGACTTCTTTATTAAAATCTATTAATCTTTCCTATGATGTTCAAGCTGTATATTTTCACATTTCTTCCATGACTTCAACAAAGAACTGAACAGAATTTTATTGTGGTAATTTCTTGAGGCTTATTTGTTTTGTTTTTTAAGATGAAAGACATGCAGTAAAGCTAATGCGGGGATTTCTGTAATGCATTTAACATGGTGTCTTATGTTAATTATCACATGTTAATTATCATGTGTTAAGATTGCTGAGGTGAGGGTATAGTGCAAGACTAATCAGTTACTCATTCTCTAAC